GGGATTAGGGTTTAGGGCTTGAGGATTTAAGGCTCAGGCTTTCGAACCTATTTAACGGTCGGGCACGATGCATCGTCGGCTGTACGGCCTCGAATCATCCTGAGATGATGAAATATACGGGACTAATGGAATAGGGTGTTGGGGTGCATTTTGCTATAAGGAAAATAAGGAACCCCCCAAATAGTATGGGTAATTATATAGGCCCCTAGATTAGATACACTCCGAGGCTTCGGCGTCAAGATCCTAGCTCGCATCTCAGGCTCTGACTCATCAGCAACCCCAGCTGTCCTTACGTATCTATAGTAGAAGCTTCCCTGAACGACCCCCAAAAAGGTTCCTAGACCCTGAACGATGTAATGCTCGCCTGTGATGGGATTAATAAAATAATTGTTCGGGCCGGTTCTGCCGATCGCTTTTTGGCAAGACTACAAGCCTGCAACCGGTCCCCGGACGCCCAAACAATCAAATGGGGTTGTAATAATAAATAAAATAAGTATTTCCGGCGGCCCTTTTCTTTGGGCATGGCGAGCCTCTTCTGAGTTGAGTACAAGCAATAAGCCGTTTGTGGCATTCCGTGCTTTGTATCGGGTTTCTTTAGGGCTTAGGGTGTAGGATTTCCTGTTTGAAGGTTTCAAGTTGCAAGAAGCCATCCTCTGCAGCTTTATCTGCTCACAGCGCTTCCTTCAAGCGCTCCTCGAGCCACTTTGGCTCCTCCCGCTGCTTCCAGTAGCGGTACGCATGCTCGTAATCGCATGACAAACACCCAGATGTCCAGTGACATCGCGAGCAGATTCCATTCCCATACAGCGTGATGCGGTGCAAGACTTTCGTTGCTTCGGCGCTAAGATTTTCGGGGCCGAAACTTCTGCCTGCATCTCGCAGCTTCAACGCCAGGTCCTGCAGCAGCAGCAGCAACAGCAGCAGCCTCGTACTTTTGCTAGTAGTACTATCATGATTATTACTACTACTGCTACTACCACTACAAACACAAACACCAGTACTGGTACTGGTAGAATACTAGTAGAATAGTACTGGGATTAGTACTAGTATTGGGATCAGCACGAGTACTGCTACTAGTACTAGTACTACTGCCACCAATCCTCCCTCCCATTATTCCAACCCCTTCAATTGTTCGGCTGCGGTCCCGGTCCGCGCTTGTTCCCAATCCTGGCCGGGGGGGGTGGGGGGGTTATTAATCACACCCCCACATTATGGGGCCCTAAACCCTAAACCCTAAACCCTGGACCCTAAACCCTAGACCCTAAACCCTAGATCCTAAACCCCTAAAGCCCGGCAGTTTCGAAGCCTGGCCTGACCCAGGCGACACCCGTCATGGTGCTCCAGTCCGGATCACGGCCTGTCTTTGGTGTAGGGTTTAGGGTTTTAGGGTTTAGGGTTTTAGGGTTTAGGGTTTAGGGTTTAGGGTTTCCGGATGTACACCAAACGAGCCCTACTTAAACTGGAATGTTTGGAGCCCTAGGGAAATGTACTGTAGGGGCCTTAATAATTACCAATACTATTTTGGGGGTCTCATTATTATAGATATAGTATAGTATAATGGGCCCCAAAACCCTGTTCGAATTACTGAGGCCCCCCTATGAATGACAAGCTGCCTTTGAGTGGAAGCCAGGTTCCGAATTGCAAGCGGCGAAAAAGCATTGGGGTCCGGTTTAGGGTGTAGGGTTTAGGGGTTCAGGGGTTTAGGGGTTTAGGGGTTTAGGGTTTAGGGTTTAGGGTTTAGGGGTGTAGGGTGTAGGGTTTAAGGTCGAATGTCACGTGATTGACAGTCTTCTGGGCTCAGGTCTGAAAATTTCCAGCCATATGGTTGATGATGTAAGTCCAGCATTACTCATAATAAGGAATAGACCACAATTCCCATAGCTTCGGGTCCTGAAGGTACTGCAGGATTTATATCATCATCAGCCTGAGCCCTAAACCCCTAAACCCTAAACCCTGAATCTTAGATTGATATCATCCACAGTAGGCTTGACCCTGAACTCGAAAACCGTCAAGCTTCTACGGTCTGAGATATAGGAATTAGGATTAAGGCGACCCTTGGGGATAGACCCTCTCAATAAGGTCCCTGGTTCAGAGAGCCATAAGTCGGGTTAAGAAGGGTCCCCTTGAAGGGGTCTCCCTAATACTACCTAGGATATTAGGAACCCTAAACCTTAAACCCCTGAAGCCCCTAAAGCCCTAAACCCCCCAAAACCCAAAAAAAACCTAAAACCCCTCAGCTCCTGAAGCCCTAAACCCCTAAAACCCAAAACAACCCTAAAACCCCTTCAGCCTGAAGCCCTAAACCCTAAACCACTAAAACCCTAAAGCCCGAACCCTGTTACCTAGGAACTATTCTGAACTTAGACCCCTAGCAAACATTAGATTTTTAGCTGCTTCTTCGGGTTTATAGTAGCCAAAGATTAACAATTATTTCTAAGTACCCCTAAGTCAACCCTAAACCCTAAACCCCTAAGGGAAGATAGCAACTCGAAGTGTTGCAGGAGTAGAGCTGCTCTGCAGTCTGCAAACCCAATGCTGCAGATTTAGAGCTTAGGGGTTTCGGGTTTAGGGTTTAAAGTAGGATTTAGGGGTTAGGGTTTAGGGCTTACAGGGGTTTGGGATTTAGAGTTTGGGGGGTTTCCGGTTTATAGGGTTTACAGTAGGGTTTAAGGGGTTTAGGGTTTAGGATTTAGTCTATAGGGTTTACAGTAGGGTCTAGGGGGTTTAGGATATAGGGCTTAGGGGTTCAGGGCTTAGGGTTTGCAGTAGGGCTTAGGGGGTTTACAGGGTTTAGGGGGTTTAGGGTTTAGGGTTTACAATAGGATTTAGGGCTTAGGGTGTAGGGCTTATAGGGGTTTAGGATTTAGAGTTTAGGGGGTTTCGGGTTTAGGGTTTACAGTAGGTTTAAGGGGTTTAGGGTTTAGGGATTAGGATTTAGCCTATAGGGTTTACAGTAGGGTCTAGG